TTCATTGTTTCTGCCAATTGCTTTAGCTTGTCCAATTGAAGAAAAAGTTTTTTAGTGTCTTCTGACATTCATTTTGGTCTTTTTTTTCATTCCTGTCTTTTTAGTAACATTTTGTTTTTTTCATGTATAATGTTCTTGATGTCATCCAACAACTCATCTGGTCTTCAGTCATTAGTCAAAATTGTGAGTCAAATCTGTTCTTGAAATGATCTTTCTATTCAGGTGAGATATTCTCAAGGCTGTGTTTTGGCTCTTGTAGACTTGTTTCCATTTTCTTCAGCTTCAAACTGAATTTGCATATGAGTAGCTGCTGGTCTGCTCCACTCTTGGCCCCTGGCCTTGTTTTGACTGATGATATTGAGCTTCTCCATTGTTTCTTTCCACAGAAATGCATCTGTGGTGAACATCATTTGACTTTTCTTGTTTAATCTTAATGTTAAACCATTATTCCTGGAATAAACTACTTGACCATGATTTTCTGAAATGTTGCTGGATCTGATAACATCTCATTTTTCAATTTTGTCTTAGTAGTCAAAGTGAAAGTGGTAGCATTTCCCTTCTTATTTTGGTACTGTTTTACCCTTTAGTATCAGAGTTATACTAGCCTTGGGAAAAATTTCCCCTGTTCTGGAATTCTTTGTCTCTTTAAGATCCAGCCAGGTTTGAATACTCTATTCTGTTTTCTTCTTTCTCAACATCATGTGACTTTGTTCCTCACACTAGTTTTTTTTTCCTCTCACACTAACTAAGCATACCTTACTGATGATCCCCAGCCAAATGTATTATTTATCATTTTTTCTAGCACATGCCCCAGACCCTCCCACTTCCAGTTCTTTGCTAATTTGATGCCGCATGCCTTGCTAAACCCTAACCATTGAGGTATATGTTGGTGTTGACTATGGGAAAGCAGACTAACATTTGAGGTAGGAAGTATAGCTGTTTGACATATTTCAGAATACCCTCATTTCCTAGGAAATTTAAAAATTTATTTTATAGGTGGAAAAAGAAACGTGATGAACATCATACACTAAAAAGTGGAGGTGCCCGACTTAAATCAAAATTGGATGACATCAAAGTGATGTTGCTTCCACTGCAATGTAAGTTCCCCTTCTCCATTGTGTTCCCAGTTACATGGATGCTTTGTTGTTGTCAAGTGCCATTAAGTAGGTTCCGACTCATGGTAGCAGTGGTTATGTGCCGTAGAGTTGGTTCCAACTCTGTACAAGGTTTCCGTGGCTGTAAATCTTTGCAGGAGAAGAAAGCCTCATCTTTTTCCTGCAATCGGCTGGTAGTTTTCAACTGCTGACCTTGAGGTTAGCAGCCTGACTCGTAACCACTAGCTACCTTATATAGGGTTTCTGAGGTGCGGCTGGTGGGTTCGAACCACTAGCAGTCCAGTGCTTATTCAGGGCTCCTGCATTGACCTGTGCTTTCTTGTTGTTGGTAAGTGTCATTGAGTTTGTTGCAACTCATAGCGACCCTGTATAGGGTTTCCTATGAGCGGTTGGTGAATTTGAACCGCCAGCATTGTGGTTCAAACCTACCTTGCGTTCAAGAGCATTATACCACTGTGCTACCTCCTTACTCCTGTAGCTGGTTTAGACTGTATCGCAGCAGTTAACATTTAATTCACTGTACTTTCCATTTTTTTAATCTGTCTTCTTGTCTCACAGTAAAGTTATTAACCGAATAATATCAGCACCTATTTATCCAACTCCAAATTTGAAAAATTTTCTCTTATAATCAAGAGAAAAATCAAAGAGGGAAACGGTAAATAAAAACAAAGAATTTTTATCATTTTAATCTTAGCTGCATATTGCAAAAAAAAAAAGGGCAAAAAGTTCCTTTCAAAATAATCCTGGAGCTTTTTAGCGACCTGTGAAAAACTGTTGTTAGGTGTTGTCGAATACGTTCTGACTTATAGCGACCCTATGCAAAATTAGTGATGAAAAAACTACGAGATTTGCATTAGTGAATATTGATCACCTCCTCACTCCCATACATGCACATTAAAAAGCGGCAGGATACTGGAAATCGCACCTACAATACTGCCTTCGCTTTAAGGAGAGAGATGAGCTGAGTCTTCCAACTGCAGGCGAGACTGCTGTCTTCCCCTCCCAAAATCAGCTGAATGGAACATTCCATGTGAAAGCTTTGACAGAGCAACCACTAGGAGGAGTCACATGGAGCTGGACAGTGTCCATGGCGTCTTGCGGAATGACGCAAACTTGGGTTGCCAAGGGGAGGGGAGTATGGCGTTGCGGAAGGGGTGGGGCGAAGGAAGCCGACCGGGAAGGCGGGGCGGGCGAAGACGAGGGGCGGGCGGAGAGGGGCGCGCGAACGGGGAGGGCCCAGCGTATTATGGGATGCGGCGGTGGAATGGCGCTGGGCGCGTGATTTTGAACAAACCAGGGTCTGTGTCTCGGAGGCGCCGCCGCCGCCGCGGCTACTGGGAGCCCAGGGAGCGCGGCGCGAGGAGGAGGCGGCGGCGCCGCCGGCTTTCGTGAGTGTCAGTCCATAGGACTGGGGTTTTAGAGCCGGTGGGCGGGAAGGGGGTGCCGGCCCCCTCTGCGGGGGACGGCGCGGGCGGAGGGCGCCCGACCGCCTCCTTCGGGAGCCCGGGTCGGAAGCGGGAACCTGCCTGCTGGGGGCCACTTCTCCCCATTCCCGGGGCCACAGGGTGCGGAAGGAACCGGAGCTCAGCCCCTTGCCGCCGGAGCCCGGGACGGCGGCTGTCACCGGCAGGGCTGGCGCTGGACCGGCCTGCTGCCGTTCCCGGCAGTCTGGAGAAAGGGCTTCCGCGGCTGTTGACACGCACACAGCGCGGCCCAAAAAGCCAGCCGCGTGGGCCCCAGGATTCTGGGAACCGGTTTTGCTGCTGTGTTATTTTGTAGCAGTCCCTCCTTTCCCTTCTGTCCGCCACACCGTTCTTCCTATGCCCCTTTGTATGGATCCTTCTTCCTGTGTGTCCGTTTTCCTCGCGAAGCCCATCAGCTAAATGTCATAATGTTCCCGAGGTGCAGGGGGGAAGGGAGCGGGCTGGGATTCAGCTTGGCCAAGCAACGGTAAACAACCAAGCAGAGTGCGGGTGGACAGGTCTGCCGGTGAGGCAACAAAGTTTAAAGACACTAGGGGAGACTTTACTCTTAGCGTCTAGCATACTGCATATTAAAAACGGCGATTGAGGTGGAAGGTAGAAGCATTAAGCTCTTAATTTTATCGACTTTTATACGGAGTTGTCATGCAAGCAAGGTAGGTAACTTAAATGGTGTCTTCAACTTTTGCCCCACCTGTGTTAGACTTCTTAAAAAGACAGTGCTGTTGTTTTTAAGTACTGTGGAATCACTTCCTACTCATAACGACCTTGTTTAGGTTTTCCAAGGAGCGGCTGGTGGGTTTGAATCGCAGGCTTTCCGACTACTTTGCTATTAAAGTGCCGTCTAGTGGATTCTGACTCAAAGCGACCCGGTATGGTAGGGTTTCAGAGGAGTGGTTGGTGACTTTGAACCACCGACCTTGCAGTCCAGTATATTATCCCACAGTGCCACACCAGGACTCCTAGCCCAGTGCTTATCCTATAACCACCGTGTTCCCAGTTAAAAAGACAATTGTCAAGTGCTGTCAAATTGATTATGACTCATAACCATCCTGTACAGGATTTCCGAGGAGTGGCTGATGGGTTTGAACTTCCAACTTTGTGGTTAGCAGTCCAGTGCTTATCCTACAGTGCCACACCAGAGGGGGGGCCCCCCCCCAATTAAAAAGACTGTTGTTATTAAGTGCTGTCGAGTCGGTTTTGTTTTCGACCTTAAAGCTCAATTGACTCATTTCATTGAAAGGTGTGGAATTCAGCCTTTGAAATGAATGAATACAAGATTCTTTCTGTTATCAAGCCCTGTAGCCTATGATTTCTTGTTTCTTAGATATTAAAAAATTTCCTATCTATGTTGTTTTAGTTATTTATGATGCTGCATGATGGGAGGGGTAGTTGGGATGGATGGGTAGCTATGGGGTCTTGTTCTGAAGCAGGCTGTTTATTTTCATGATACTGACAAATGTATATCAGCGGCAGATGGTTTTTTAATTTGGTGACTTAGATCCTAAAAAAGTTTGACAAAGAATTCTAGCTTATAGTTATATTTTCTGTATTTTCAGAAATTGATCATTCAGGCATTTATTTCCATAATTGGATGGGTACATTTTAAGCTCGGTCGCACTTTGATGTCTTAAAGCAATGACAAATAGAAAGTCACTGTTTCAGGACGGAATTATCAGATAAAGTATAGAGGAAACTTGTTGTTTTAGAGTTGATTTGTCAGACATGTGTTGAAATCTTTATTTAAAAAAAGAAAAATAGCTGTTCTGACTACAGTAATTACACACGGATCAGTACCTATAATTTACAAATGTTATCAGAGGTCAGACAAGGCATATGGAAATAACTCATTGTGTCAGGTAGTTCCAACAGTGAAGTAAAATGTCACAGTTGGTGAATGACATTAAAGGTCTCAATAATGCCCTCAGTTGTCTAAGATAGACATAGTGAAACATATTCCATCCTATATCTCCAGTTGCTGTTCTGAAAATGAAAGAGTATCTAGATCCCTTATTGTCCTTATGCTACCTTCTGTCTTGGCTTTTGCTCTTCAAAACAAAAATATGCCGGACTTGGGACCCCGCAGTTGGCGTGGCTTCCTTTCGCTGCCCTGCGGGACCGGCAGAAGCACCATTTTTCGTTCTGGGGTGAAAGGTCTTTGCGTAGCCTGTGTGTATTTGTGTCTCCCGTGTACATTTGAAGGTTGGCGGGGCCGGCGGGAGGCTTCCCCGGATATGTGGGTGTGTGCCTCTCGGGAGGGAGGGTCAGGGAGGGGAGGAGGAGGAAGGGGGAGGTGACTGGCGGCGGCGGCGGCTGCCCGGGCTCAGGCTGTCGGGGAAGCTGCTGAGCTGTGATGGTGATGACGAGGTGAAAATGGCGGATCTTTCGAAATACAATCCCAGCCCCTGACATACCAGAGACAGCAGCAGCAGTGGCGTTGCCACCAGGCTCCCTTCTCCGTCTCCGGGTACCCTGTAGTGCTCTAGTTAGGGCAAACTGAAAAAGGAAGCTGCTGACCTGAGCTATCCGGCCAAGGCAAAACAAGCACCGCCCGGGCTCGGAATTGCCCGGGACCTTCTGGAGCCCCCACCTTGGAGCCGGAGGGAGGAGAAAGCGGCAGCCGCTGGAGGTAGAGAAGAAGGGGTACCCGAGGGCCTCTCTGCCTGAGACCTCTGCATTTGGGGGATGGGGGTATTTGCACTGTGGATCAGCTAATGACTTGTCTGTAGTGCTAAGAATCAGTAGCCTGGTAATGACATCAACATGGTAATCTGGGTGTTAAGAGGGCTCGAATTTGCTCTTATACCTAAGGCGGCTACTGAGGCCTAGAGGAACCGCTAGTACTTATTTTGCTTTCCTGATTTGATAGTTTACATATCCACTCTGGTTAGTCAACACCAGATGATGTGAAGCAGTTTATGGAGTTCTAGGTTTCTGTAAGAAGACTGAGTATTGGCATTTTATTCTGCATTTGAGACCTGTTTGTTAGGTCATAGTTTGTAACTTAGTGGAGTGTGGATGCTCACTGTTTTTAAAAAAATTTAAACATATGGATCAATTTTGTAACAATATGTCTTTTTTTTTTTTAACGGCTCTATGTGGCGCTGCGTATTAATGCAAGGTCGATTTGAACCTCAGGATTAGTGGTTCAAGCTCATCATCCGGTCCTCAGAAGCCCTATACAGAGTTGCTATGAGTCAGAACTGACTGGATAGCACTTAACAACATCGTCCATAGAGTGGCCCCGTTTGCCCCTGTGCCATTTGGCCGTTTGGCAAATAATGACTGAAATATTGTCAGTCATATTTTATTCTGTGATTTTCAGAGAAGTTATTCCTTACTCCCCATCCATTTCATGAAGTCAGAGTAAAGTTTTGGAGTATTTTGCAATACGTTTTATAATTCAAGTGAAATATAGCCCTGGGAATTCTGTTAGCACACTAGTTTCACCTTCATTGTTATTGAAGGAGAATTGTGGTTATTGTTAAGATACTGTTTCCTTTGGCTCAATGCAAAACACTTGTTCCATGTGAGTACATTAAGTTGTTATAAAGATGAATTAACACATCTATTTGATTCTAAATATGTACTTGTTAGTCCTTTGCGTAGAAAGTTGAGAATTGGGTTGATTAATTTATGATAGCTATGGTTTAGTTTTTGCACCAGACAGCAAAGCTGTATGAACTGCAAGGTCAGTGGTTCAAGCTCACCAGCTGCTCCTCAGAAGCCCTATACAGGGTCACTCTGGGTCGGAATCGACTTGACAGCACCTAACAACAACAACAACATAGCTTAATTTGGGGTCCTGGTGCTATAGGTTAAACACTGAACTGCTAACCACAAGGTCAGTGGTTCATACCCTCCAGTTGTTTCTCAGAAACCCTATTATGGTCACTTGCATTGGAACCAACTCAACAGCACTTACCAACTACCTGGCTTAATTTAACAGAGTATCTAAAGAGCCATGTTTTAGATTGTCCTGCAGGATCCCTAATAAGTCTGTCTTTTTTCACAACTAGTAGTGTCTCTGAAATGACTGATGTTCAACCGTTTCAAGAGGTAGCATATGATGAAAAGCCAGTGATACTGAAGGAAGAAATCCAAGGTGCATTGAAGGAATTGGCAAAGAACAAGTCACCAGGAATTGATGGAATAAAAATTTAAATCTTTCAAGAAAGTGAGACGGCACAGGAGGCACTCACTCATCTATGCCAAGAAATTTGGAAGACAACTATCTGGCAGACTGATGGCAAGAGATCCATATTTGTGCCCTTTCCAAAGAGAGGTGACCCAACGGAATGCGGAAATCATTGGAGTAAAGTTTTGCTAAAGGTAATATAGAAATGGCTACAATCATACATTGATAGAGAACTTCCAGAGGTTCAAGCCGGATTCAGAAGAGGCTGTGGAATGAGGGATATCATTGCTGATGTGCGATGGATCTTGGCTGAAAGCAGAGAATATCAGAAAGATGTTTACCTGTGCTTTATTGACTACGCAAAGGCTTTTGATTGTGTGGATCATGACAAGCTTTGGACAACATTGCAAAGTATGAGTATTCCAGAACACTTAATTGTGCTCGTGAGGAATCTGTATCTGGACCTAGAGGCAGTTGTTCGAACAGAACATGGGAACACTGAATGGTTTAAAATTAAGAAAGGTGTGCGACAAGGTTGTATTCTTTCACCATACTTATTCAAACTGTATTCTGAGCAAATAATCCAAGAAGCTGGGTTCTGTGAAGAAAAATGTGGCATCAGGATTGGAGGAAGACTCATTAACAACCTGCGGTATGCAGATGATACAACCTTGCTTGCTGAAAGTGAAGAGTACTTAAAATATTTACTGATGAAGATCAGAGACCACAGCCTTCGGTATGGATTGCATCTAAATGTAAAGAAAACAAAAATCCTCACCACTGGACCAATAAACAATATACTTATCAAGGGAGAAAAGGCTGAAATTGTCAAGGACTTCATTCTTCTTGGATCACCTATCAACGCTCATGAGAGCTGCAGCCAAGAAATCAAACAACGTATTGCATTAGGCAAATCTGCACAAGACCTTTTTAAAGTGTTGAAGAGCAAAGATGTCACCTTGAGGACTAAGGTGCGCCTGACCCAAGCCATGGTATTTTCAATAACCTCATATGCATGTGAAAGTTGAACAGTAAATAAAGAAGACCGTAGAAAAATTGGTGATTTTGAGTTATGGTATTGGAGAAGAATATTGAAAGTGCCAGGGGCTGCCCATAGAACCAACAGATCTGTTTTGGAAGAAGTGCAGCCAGAGTGCTCCTTGGAGGCGAAGAGGGCCAAATTTCATCTCTCATACTTTGGACATATTGTCAGGAGGGACCAGTTGCTAGAGAAGTATATCATGTTTGGTAAGCGGAGGGTCAGAGAAAAGGAGGAAGACCCCCAGCGAGATGGATTGGCCAAGTGGCAGCATCGATGGACTCAAGCGTGGCAATAGTAGTGAGGTTGGCCCAGGATCGGGCAGTGTTTCGTTCTGCTGTGTATAAGATCGCTATGACTCGGTACTGACTCGATGGCACCTAACAATATAACAACAACAACAGTGACTCTGAAAAGTTACATGTAAATCACATTACATTCATTTGGGACTACCCTTTTATTCCCCTCCCCCCACACACAACTTTTATGGTAGAAGAGTTGTTGTTGTTAAGTACCTTGGAGTTGGTAGAAGAGTAAGAGACAGGAAAAATTTTTAAAGGAAATACTTGAGAGATACTTTATATCTAGTTAGTGAAGTTTTAAGAATCATTTAAATGTTCTTGTATTATGTAGTAGGAATTTGTTTTCATTTTACGTCATTTATATTGCAGTTATTTGGGCTGCCCCAACCCAACTGCTAAATTAGTAAGTTGTTCTCAAGTGCCATCGAGTGGGTTCTGATCCATAGCAACCCTATAAGATAAATAATTTAAAAAATAAGTTAAAGAAGATTATAATGCATTTTCATTCATTTTCTTTTCATCTTAGTGTGTTACTTTTGTTATTCTTTGTGATGGTCTTCAAAGATCAGTTTTCAGGGTTGGGTGGTTAGAACTTGTCTGTTAGTAATTAAAAGTATGTTAGAAAAAGTGGAGAGTTATGCCATTGGAGATAGTCCCCTGTCCTTTCTTCCCCCCATTACTTCTTCTTAAACGTATGTTGAAATAGAGATAACTATGTTGTCTATTATGTCCTAGACCTGGCAGACAAAATAACCTCAATATTACTGCACCAGGTGAACCTCCAGTTTAAGAATCACTAAAGGTAAATTGGATCATTTGATAGGCCCTAATGCAACAGGCCTTGAGAGTTAAAGAAAAATTTTGAGTAGGAAAGTGTCAATCTCAGAGATGTACTCTAAGGAGATAAATCCTGTAGCTGTTATGTAGGATGACTAGTAGCTGAGAAGAGATGGAGGTAAAAATACTGTAGTCTCTGAGGCTATCACTCTCCTGTTCAAAAATTTTTGTAGCTTTCAAGGCCTTCTGTATTAGTGGCACAATGGCTAAGTGCTTGGCTGCTAACCAAAGGATTGGCTATTAGAACTTACCAACTACTCTGATGTGGCACTATGGGATAAGCACCGGACTGCAAGTAAGGTCGGTGGTTCAAACCCAACAGCCACTGCTTGGAAACCATATACAGGGTTACTATTCCTATACAGGGTCACTATGAGTTGGAACCGACTCCACAGTACTTAACAACAACAAGAAGCCATTCTGCAGGAGAATAGACGTGGAAATCTGCCACTGTTTATGATCCAGTTTAGGAAACCCTGTGGGCATAGTTCTACTCTGTCCAGTAGGGTAGTGATGAGTTGGAATTTACTACAGGCACACGATGACTAGCTTCAAACTTTGCAGATTTGGAAGCTATAGATTGCCTTGGGGAGGAGGCATTGTGAAAGGTGTAATCTGCATAATACATGAGGGGGCTTCAAAAAGTTTATGGGAAAATTCCATTATTA